TTCTCTAGAACTATGGCGTCGATGCCCTCGTCGTCCATGCGAGGGTAGGCAGCCTTGGTCAGCGCCAGCAGCGCGCTTCGGAAGCCGAGGGGAGTCTCGTTTGCCTCCTTCGTCCGGGTGGTAAAGTGATGCCTGATCTCTGACGGGGGCCCGTACACCAACGCCATGTGGTGGAGGGCGTCCTGCAGCGTTGCACGCCGAGCCCTCAGGATGGTGAGGAAGGTGGCCAGCGCGTCGTCGTCAAGAGTGGACGGGAGAGCCCGAAGTGCCACCCCCTCCGTCCACTCAGCTGTCTCACAATTGGAGATGAAACGGCGTGAAAAAGCCGTCCAATCACCACCCTTTGGCTTGAACACCTGCAGTGCCAGCAAGCGTTGCTGGAGCGCCGGCTCCCAACCCGCTGACTCTTCTCCCACAGCGGCTGCGGTGTTCGTGGGAGCGCCATACGTCGGTATGTCCTCCAAAAACATAGCTGATGACGCGGCCGCGTCCCATTGGCGGGCGCTCCGGGCGGAAGTGACGTGTAGTTCCGGGAGCCCGTGACTTTCGGTGGAAGTGACATCACCTCCGGCCGCGCCAGCCCCGCTTCCGGCGGCAGTGACGTAACGCCGCGCGGAAAGGGACATCGCTCCCAGCCGTTTCTTCAAAATGTTGCGCGGGAACTCCCGCGGCGATGGCGGGAACGCCACTCGCCCGCTGGCACGGCCTCGCAGCATCCCCTCCCGGACCCGCCCGCGTTATTTCATCGAGGATGGCAGCGGCAGGGCGAGGCGGGAGTGTACCGATAGGAGCGTCTCTCCCGCTGGCGGTGAGTCGATCGGTGGTCGGGGAGGTCGTAGATCCCCCGTTGAAGGACCATCCTCCGGCTGCGACTTGGCTCCCTCTGGAGCAGTTTCTTGATCGGCTTCATTTTCCGGAGCCTTGGCAAGTGTCTTCCGTCTAGTCTCCATGGTGGCAAAGTATTCGGACACTTCTGTCACCAGTTGTAGTAGTCGTAGATGGAGACGGAGTCGTAGTAGGAATTAAACACTTTTATTGATGTCCTTAACAATGATTCACAAGGTCCTTAACACGAAGGGGTAACGGGCCCCTTCTACCCACAACCTAGGGAGGTACAGCCTCCGGGCTAGCATACTCTAGCTTTGGGTCTGACTACTACTCTAGCACTCCGGCTAGCTGGACCTAGGGGAGGCTGACCCACCGCTGGCACCGGTGGGTCTTCGACCACTGGCCCGTCCAGACCCGGCCCTGAGAAGGGCGTCGGGCTGAGGGAACCTCAGGGTCCTAGCCTGCTGATCACTGGTACCACACTGAGCCCCGGCCCTCAGAAGGACGTCGGGGCTTGGGGTCCAGGATCTCCTCTTCAGGCGGCTCCTCGGCTTCGGCTTGAGACGAACTGAACTCTGCACCCAGGAGCCCGCCTTTTATACGATTTCCCCCACCGAGGGGCGGGGTTCTGAGGGATCACAGATCCCTCGCAGCCCCCTCCCCTCAGGAGGGGTTCTGGCCACAGGAAGCCCAACCAATCTGTGTTTGTTTGATCCCACTTTCTGCCTCGAACCAGGGTTCCAGGGGATCCCACACACACACAACACTTCACAGCCTCTACCCCTCAGCCGGGGTCTCAATCAGGGTTATGAATGACCCCGCTCTGGTAGGTACTGTGTAGCGTGTGCGTGTTTACAGAGTGACCACCACACCTGTATAAAATGTACCTGTCCACAGAAGCAATCAATCAATCAGATGTCAAACTCTCCACCATGGCCAAGACCAAAGAGCTCTCCAAGGATGTCAGAGACAAGATTGTAGACCTACACAAGGCTGGAATGGGCTACAAGACCATTGCCAAGCAGCTTGGTGAGAAGGTGACAACAGTTGGTGCAATTATTCGCAAATGGAAGAAACACAAAAAAAACTGTCAATCTCCCTCGGCCTAGGGCTCCATGCAATATCTCACCTCGTGGAGTTGCAATGATCATGAGAACAGTGAGGAATCAGCCCAGAACTACACAGGAGGATCTTGTCAATGATCTCAAGAAAGCACATATACATGCCCATCTGAAGTTTGCCAATGAACATCTGAATGATTCAGAGGACAACTGGGTGAAAGTGTTGTGGTCAGATGAGACCAAAATGGAGCTCTTTGGCATCAACTCAACTCGCAGTGTTTGGAGGAGGAATGCTGCCTATGACCCCAAGAACACCATCCCCACCGTCAAACATGGAGGTGGAAACATTATGCTTTGGGGGTGTTTTTCTGCTAAGGGGACAGTACAACTTCACCACATCAAAGGTACGATGGACGGGGCCATGTACCGTTAAATCTCGGGTGAGAACCTCCTTCCCTCAGCCAGGGCATTGAAAATGGGTCGTGGATGGGTATTCCAGCATGACAATGACCCAAACACAGCCAAGGCAACAAAGGAGTGGCTCAAGAAGAAGCGCATTAAGGTCCTGGAGTGGCCTAGCCAGTCTCCATACCTTAATCCCATACAAAATCTGTGGAGGGAGCTGAAGCTTTGAGTTGCCAAATGCCAGCCTCAAAACCTTAATGATGTGGAGAAGATCTGCAAAGAGGAGTGGGGCAAAATCCCTCCTGAGATGTGTGCAAACCTGGTGGCCAACTACAAGAAACGTCTGACCTGTGATTGCCAATAAGGGTTTTGCCACCAAGTATTAAGTCATGTTTTGCAGAGGGGTCAAATACTTATTTCCCTCATTAAATGCAAATCAATTTATAACACTTTTGACATGCGTTTTTCTGGATTTTTTGCTGTTATTCTGTCTCTCACTGTTCAAATAAACCCACCATTAAAATTATAGACTGATCATTTCTTTGTCAGTGGGCAAACGTACAAAATCAGCAGGGGATCAAATACTTTTTTCCCAAACTGTAAGAGCCACGCAGGCTAATAAATTGCTTGTGATTCGATAAACAGGATCGAGTCAAGCACAGTGCGGTACCATTAACCCCCATATTATGTTTCAATCATTTAAGCAGATGGTATCAAAAGCAGCACTCAGGTCGAGTAGAACTAGAATGCTGAGTGAGCCAGTGTTGGCGGCAGTCAATAAATAATTTACCACCCTCACCAAATGCCGTCGCAGTGCTGTATCCAGGCCGAAAACTATATTGGAAAGATTTGAAGTCAATTGAAAGTTTTTGGAGCCAAGAGGCATCCACACACTTGAGAACCTTGTAAAGAAAGGGCATATTGGAGGTAGGGCGATAGTTTAGGTACTTCAGAATCAAGGACTGTTTTTTTGAGAGAAGACAGGGTAGTACTCTGAAAAGAGGGCGGCAAAATGGTTGGTGGCTATGTTAAAGAAGACTGCATTTAATGGCGGATAGCTTTAATATTGCTGAGGAAAAACTCGAGGAATGTATTATGTTTTGGTGGAGGCAAGGAAATGTGTTTGTGGAGGGGGTTTTAACATCTGAGATTTGGTACAAAAAAGTAGCTGAGGTTTGTTGGAGTTATCAGCAACGAGTTTAGAAAAATTAGCCGATTTAGCTCAAGCCAGGGGCATCTTGGTAGAGATGTTGCAGCTCTTTAAAAACCTGTTGATGAACCATGAGGACTCATCTTCTGCAAGTTCGCTCAGCTTTACTATCGTCTCGATTGAGCGCAGTTCATTGTTATACCAGGGAAATGGCCGGATGGCTGAAATCCTCCTTGTTTGAAGGGGGACCAACAAATCCAGAATATTACCAAGCATTAAATTGTACAACTGCTTGAGATCATCCATTGTAGCTGCTATATTGTTGTAGCTGCTAATGCTGGTGGTGCTTGCCAGGATGGCCAGGTGAGCAAGGCTGCTATAAAAGTTACTGATTAAAATAATGAATTTAAATCCATTTGTTGAAATATTAAAAAATAAAAGAATAAATAAAAGGGTTTGAATTACAGATTTTTTTGATGCTCGTGTAATAGCGTAACACGCGGGATTAGCAAAAGGGTGATGTGAGGTGACACTGGAGTGGCGTGGTAGCAATTAGGGGGCGCAGCATGGATGGAGATAGTGCAATTGAGGTCGCGCAGGTGCAAGCGTGGAGACATGGATTAGGTGCCGAAGAAGCGGCAGCAATTAGGGGGAGAAGCATTGATTGAGCGGGTGCATTTGAGGACGAGCAGGTGTGAGCATTGGGGCACGGGGTAGATACCAGAGAGGCGGGAGATGGAGACGATAAGAGAGAGTGCGTGCCGGAGGCGCCGTGGAGGCGCCAGCTTAATGGGGGATAAGTGGGGACCCAAAATGAGAAGGGATATATATCAGGGAGTGTGCGGAGTAGCACGGTGAGTTGGTTGGTGCCCAAGGGATGAAGAACACAAGAGTCGGGGAGAAGACGCCTGGGACCTCGCCCTCACCTCCCCAGCAGTGTTGGCTGATCACCTGCTGGGGGCAGGGACGAGGGCGGAAGTGTGAGGGAAGCAGGACAGGATAACAGAGTGTAGAGTGAGAGAGCGGGGGAAACAGAGTAGTTACCGCGCACGAGGTGTGCGGAGATGAGTATGGGGAAGTCGGGGAGTTCGGAACAAGGGTGTGTGTGTTAGTGTAGGTGAGGAGCATCCACATTGGATGGAAGGTAAATAAAGTGACACAGGAAAAAAGTTAAGAGTATCCATGTGAGTACAACACTACACTCGTACTACGCAAACAACAGTAAAACCAAAAAATTTAGTTAAACACACTGGAGCCACAGTAAAACGTGCTTGCGCCCCGAGGTGGTGTCTGTGAAGCGATGTAAAAACACATGCTAAAGCTTTCATGAGTAGATATTCCATAGGTGCCATGTCCAATCACTTGAATAAGAGGAGGAAAAACTCACTTATTTTCTAAATTACTACCCTTCACCAGTTACCATACACAACAAAATCACCACTTATCCAGTTACCAATTAAGTGCCCATCTGCCCACTAACAGAAAGTCGAGAGAAAGATGCCTGCACGTGACTTAATTACAAATCGTCAGTAGGAGTGTTAGGCGGGCATCGTTACCGGTCTGATTTCTCTTGTAACTCCTTCAACACCCCCGACTGTGGAGAAGATGGTTTCTGTTCGTAAATACTTCTTAGTGTCTTCAATCTTGCTTGCAGAGCAAACACCTGCGCATCTTTACAACAAAACATGAAGGGAATTAATGTGCTGTGCACATAACATGAGCAGGCTGTCATTCAGCTTCCTTTCATGAGTAGAGTCACTTGAAGCAATAATATACTGCAGTGCTAAATGACACGTTCCTATCTTGGGTTTGACCTTAATTTAAAATCTCCAAAACGTCAAATGGGCAGCAAAAAACAGCAACGACTAAATGGGCATCACATTCTCAAAACTAAAAAATTATGAGATGGTGTATACTTTTCAGGATTTTAAGCTTTCGTGAAAGCAAGGATCCATACTGTTTGTTGCAAACGTTAATCTGAACATAACTGTAACATCCATTTCGATTTAAAGCTTTCGTGACTGCAAGGATTCATCTTCTTTGGTTCTTTCAGTAAAGTCACGTAGAATGAGAAGAAAGCAATAAAATAAAACAATAAAATTCTCACGACGTTTCGGCCACAACACAAGTGACCTTCTTCAGGTGAAAGGAACAAACCTGTCGGGACGACAGAGCTACAATGAACGCTGCTAAGATTCGCAGCGTCTTTTAAGCTGGTTGAGAGAAGTGAGGGACCTTGACAAAGGGGTTTACATATCAAACAGGAGAATTTAGCATTGAAACAGTTGAGGGATTAGCTTGTGACTGGTCACAGAAATAGCTATATTTTTTTATTTAAAGCTTTCGTGACTGCAGTAATTCATATTCTTAGCTATTTCGGTAAAGTCACGTTGAAGGGAAACAATAAAATAATAAAACATATATAAAACAATAAAAATTCTCACGACGTTTCGACCATAACGCAAACGGTCGTCATCACCACCGCATTTCGGTTCTTAATTAATTATTTTATGGTGACCTTCAGACCGCAGCTCTTTCGCTGGCATTGACTCTTAATACCTCTCACACCACGGTTAATGGTATGGTTTATAACATGATTATAACAGTGCCTCGCAGCTGTTTCTCTCCTCTGTTCCGACCATGATGGACTCGTCCGTCTGAACGGGGCTCGTAGCGGTCCGTGGTGCTGATGTGGAGGGTAAGAATCCACCCATTTTTTTCGCCATATAGCATCGTGATATATAACGACTTATTGTTGGTAGCTCAGCTGATTGGAGAATATATAGAGTTTATTGATAACATTGAGGTAGTTTATATTTTAGTTTGTTTATCTGTTTACTATATGGTATTCATTATATAGTGTAGTGTATGCCCAGTTGCTGTTAATAGCTCTGCTTATTGAAGAATATGTTGAGTACATTTATTATATTGATGTAATTTAGACTTAGGTTTTTTTCACATTGGTTTACTGTATGATAGTTGAGTTGTTGCAGCCCCTTTGGCGTCCATGTACGAGGTGCCTCTGTAGATGTGTAGGCTTTGACTTTAACATAGCTATTTCTGTGACCAGTCACGAGCTAATCCCTCAACTGTTTCAATGCTAAATTCTCCTGTTTGATATGTAAACCCCTTTGTCAAGGTCCCTCACTTCTCTCAACCAGCTTAAAAGACGCTGCGAATCTTAGCAGCGTTCATTGTAGCTCTGTCGTCCCAACAGGTTTGTTCCTTTCACCTGAAGAAGGCCACTTGTGTTGTGGCCGAAACGTTGTGAGAATTTTATTGCTTTATTTTATTATTTTATTCTCATTCTACGTGACTTTACCGAAAGAACCAAAGAAGATGTAACATCCATAATATAGGTTTTTTTGGTTAGATCGCGCAAATATAAATGTGTCGTTAAACCCTCCACCACCCGACATAGCTTTAAGAAATACAACAATGGGACCTCATTAAGGCATCAGATCATCAGAAAGGTGACAAACGAGAGGGGGTCGTTCAGTCCACATCGCTCATTTGGGAAGAAAACCAGACAAGTCAGAAGGCAGCCAGAAATTGTTACTACCCACAATTGCCCAATCTATGTGGTCTGCCAGAAGGTGGCAATGTTGCCATATATAATCCCAATTGAGAAATTTGAGGGTAAAATTAAGGTAAATACACCTGCAGTATTAACCTGGCAGCCAATGAACCTCTGGAACAAGCGATGAATGTGCTATGGCTAGGATATGTCACTGCCAATGTTAGAAAGCAGACAGTCAGGTGGGGTCTGAAGAGTTAATATACGTATATAATGAAGGGAAACATTTCATCAGCATGTTTTTTTCACGAAAATTTGTTTTACATAGGGAAGCCACACAAAGTCTCAAAACTGCTTTAGAAGTGTCCAGGCCAAGTTTTCACAGGAGAGTAACGATTGCTACATGTTTCCCAATTAAGTGATTCGGAATATTTCAAATGTGGCAAATTTGGACCGTGACCCCGGCACACTAGGCAATTGTGATGAATAACTTCAAATCTAAACACATGAATGTTCAAACACAAACTCTGCTTCAGGTTGTTGCCCTTCCTCTGCACCTCCGATGAGCAGTTGGCTACTACGTGCTGTACAAAAGAAGTTCAACATACACACATATTCAAAGAGAGATACCTCTGTCAATCACCAGCTGCTGGTGTGCTGACAGCTCAGCCTCCAGCTGCTCACAGGCTTTCCTCTCTCTCCACACCTGCTCCTGCAGCTTCAGTACCTGCTGCACTTGGCTCTTTTTGAAGAAATCCTGCAATGGTGTGGCAGGCCTGCCAGAAAACAAAGCACATGCCATCTTAACACCAGCTTATTTTATACCTATTCCATACAATTTAAATGCATAAAGCATCGACATGCAGCCACTATACTGCACATTCTCACAAAATAATAATTAGCATTGTTGTAAAGAATATACTGCAAATCTTGACTTAAAGCTTTCGCGACTACAGGAATTCATATTCTTTGGGTCTTTCGGTAAAGTCACGCAGATAGGTTCATAGAAAATAACAAAAAACTACGACGTTTCGATCGCAACACAAGCGATCATCATCAGGAAAAGGGGGTTAGCTTCTAAAGGCAAACTGTTTATAAAGGTTTGAAATGGGCGTAGCCCAAATGTCAGCAGCATGGGCGGGGCAGCTAATGTTAATGTGAGTGATGGACGGCGACTGCGACGGTGGTGGGTTTTCCACCAATTGTAGGGCTGCCAGGTTAAAAATTAGCATGTTAATGTAAGATCGGTGAGCGGCCTCCACGGCGAACGCACTGAGGTGGCAATGTTAATGTGAGAGATTAGAATGTTAATGGGAGATCGCAGAGCCGCCGCCTCCTCTAGGTCGGTGCGCGAAGGTGATTTAGCTATTTCAATGCTAAATTCTCCTGTTTGATTTGTACTAGGTGCCTCTGTGGATGTGTAGGCTTTGACTTTAACATAGCTATTTCTATGACCAGTCACAAGCTAATCACTTAGTTATTGCCCTTGTTGGCTGAGAGGATGACGATGTCATCTCTATTCTTAGCTCTTTCGGTAAAGTCATGTCATCTCTCTTTTTTAATTGTGAAAGCTCAAAGCGCTCATCCTTACTGATGTTGCTAATAGGTGTCTTATGTTTCGATTTAAAGCTTTCGTGACTGCAATGATTCATCTTCTTTGGTTCTTTCGGTAAAGTCACGTAGAATGAGAATAAAATAATAAATTGATAAAATAAAATAACACAATAATATTCTCACGACGTTTCGGCCACAACACAAGCGGCGTTCATCAGGTGAAGGGACGAGACTGTCTGGTAGGACAGCGCTGTCCTACCAGAGAGTCTCGTCCCTTCACCTGATGAAGGCCGCTTGTGTTGTGGCCGAAACGTCGTGAGAATATTATTGTGTTATTTTATTTTATCAATTTATTATTTTATTCTCATTCTACGTGACTTTACCGAAAGAACCAAAGAAGGTGTCTTAGCGTTTTTGAGGATTACAGTGATTTCCGATCTTGCCATGTCTGCAGTAATGTGTCCCAAACCCTTAACGGCTACATCAACCTGGGCAATGATATCATCAACTGGGATGTGTTTAGGGGTGACTGCGAAATTCAACCCTTTAGCTAACACCGATTTTAGGCTGTCGGAAATTAGACTGTTGCTCTGATTGATAACAATCTTGTCAACTTCTAACTTTCTAACATGTGGATCTGGCCTCTTCTTGGAAAGGAGGTTGAACTTGGAAATCAGGTTATCTTTGCATTTAGCTGACATTGTGGCAGCTGAAGAGGCTGTCCTGTTGTCTAAATGTTCCCAATCAGATGTAGATCATCTGATTGGGAACTATCAGATTGTCTAAATCTGCCATACATAGCAGGGGTAACCAAAAATAATTCCTAAATCATGAACAAACACAAGATCCAGGTCCGATTTAACACAGTACATAAAATTCGTGATCTGAACCCATTTGTGAAGGACAAGATTCCTGACATGCAATATCCCGGCATCTACAAACTAAGCTGTATCTGCGGCAGCAGTTACATTGGGGAAACTAAGTGACATGTCTCGGACCGTATTCGTGAACATAAGGTAGATCTGAAACACGGTAGGACCAATAACTCGGCCGTGGCTGATCATTGTTTTAATGCGGTGGGCTCACACGAAATGTATTTCTCTAAGACGAAGGTACTTTGCAAACCCACTGGCTATCAACAAAGATTCGTTCATGAAGCGATCCATATATACAGACACAAATTCAACCGAGAAGATAGGTAATAACTGAGCAAACATTGGAAGGACGTTATCAATCAGTTTAAGTCATAACTGGCTGTGATGTTCACATCCTACCACCTTCCAATGTTAGTTGTTATTTTCGGCTCTCCGATTTGACATTAACAGGTTAAATTTCTCACACAGCCACCTTCGCGCGCCAACCTAAAGGTTGCGGCTCTGCGATCTTCCATTAACATTCTAATATCTCACATTAACATGCTAATCTCTCACATTAACATGCTAATCTCTCACATTAACATAGCCACCTCAGCGCGCTCGCCGTGGAGGCTGCTCACCGATCTTACATTAACATGCTAATTTTTACCTGGCAGCCCTTCAATTGGTGCAAAATCCACCACCGTCGCAGTCGCCGTCCACCACTCACATTAACAATAGCTACCCCGCCCATGCTGCTGACATTTGGGCTACACCCATTTATAACCTTTATAAACAGTTTGCATTTAGAAGCTAACCCCCTTTTCCTAATGACGACCGCTTGTGTTGCGATCAAAACTTCGGAGTTTTTTGCTATTTTCTTTGAACCTATCTACGTGACTTTACCGAAAGACCCAAATAATAATAATATACTGTAAGTAGAACATAAAGAAGCAGATAATTAAGTGACTTCTTGACTCTTCTGATGAGACACTGAATGTCAAAAGAGGTCCCGAATTTCCATCGTATTGAATCAATGCTACTAAAATGATGCACTCCCGGAAGTCCATGTGGCTAATGAGATGTGTTAAAATTATTACATTTATGTGGAGGGTCACATGAGGGAAGGTTAGTTCTGTACATATTATATCTCCTTCCTAAAATGTGTCCTTCCTAATATTTAGTTTAGCAAACTTTAACATTCATAAAAACTAAAGTGCATGCTTTGTTCTAACTCTTAAATGACCTGTTTTAAATGTACCATATTTTAAGTAATAATAAGACTTTGCAAAAAAAGTTGCATGGGAATTAAATAAAAAGGTGTGCTTTTTTAATCAAAATAATTCACCCGGATTCATGCCTTGAGATGGACATATTGTTTGCGTGTCCAGATTCGATATATTTGATTGAATGTGGGCTTTGTTAAAAGGGAATTTCTGTTAATTACAAACTCATACTTACGAAGTTTTGGATGGTGCGTGCTGCAGCATATGTCTGGTTTTGTTTCGCAAGGGAGTGACAGTAGCATACGTATCCTCTGCCTCCTGAAACGACTCCATCAGTCCCATCGCTGGTGCTGACAATGGACAGTCACATGCATAAATAATATCAACTGCACTTAAAATTTCACGATGCAAGATAACAAGTTGAAAAAGTGGGTTTTTAGTCACTATGCCCCGCACCCACTGGAACTCCCTACCCAAGCAACTCAGCCTGGTTGCAATGCTCTCTCTGCTCAAAATCTTCCTCTTCAGCCCCATGCCTTCACAACCCCTTCATTGCCTCCGTTCCCTCCTTCTCTTGAAAATTCGTGTTGGATACAACCATATTTGAAAATGTGATTTGTAATTTTGATCCTTACCCATGTATCGATATTTACATTTTAATGTGCAATTTTAGAGGGACTGTTTATTGTCTTCGTGTGGTCTGGGAATGTTTTTGTAGTTGCTTTGCTGCCTTGCCCAAGCTTGCATTTAGTGTTGAAAAATCGGCAGGAATTGATGTACTTACGCAATTTGTACTTACTGTAGTTCTATTTCTTATTTTTAGTCACTTGCTTACCTTTCCTATACTTTGTATTGTTTGTTGTTGTAACTTTATTACCCACCCCGACTGGACATCTGTGAAAGAGCTTCATTGCTCATCAGATTCTTCCAGGATAAATATTCTGATTCTGAGTAGGTGCAAGTGCCTGATTGAGGAATAGTGAATCTACACAAATTAACTTTCTCAAGCCCTCTCGTCGTGGCTAGCAGACCTCAACATTAGCATATAGCTCCTGAACATATTGATATATGCTGGAATAGTGGGTGAGCAGGTGAGTAGCTGGGGGTCTGTGAATAGATGAGCGAGCAAGTGAATCGCTTCCATTTTCTTCTTCCCTAGCTCAGTCGCTCCCATTCCCTCGAGTGTTCCTCCTCTGTATTCCTGCACAGAGATGTTCGTTTCTTTATGGGCGTGCACGATAATTGTAAGATGTGGGAATGTTGGAGGTATCTTTATTTAAATATGCAGATACTGTCAAAATTTCCACTTACCTACAGAATGCAGAAGATATTCCAAGTCATCTGCCAAGTTGTTTGAATCCTTGTTATCGACCAGAAACTGCATTATTTCTCTCAACTCATTCTGTATATTACAAAAATAAAATCACCACTCAGAAGCTAGAACATGTTTATACAATCAAATTGTTACTGTTTCCTGAGGTTGACTCAGTGGTAGAGCAAGTGGCTCACAATCAGAAGGATGCAAGTCCAAATCCTGGTTTGGGGGGTTTACTCTGCCCATCATTCCTCTGGGGTTCATAAAAATTAATACCACTTTGTGGTAAAATAATCAGTGGTTATCGACTCGCCCCTCACCATAAGAATGCGGGATTTCTGCCACTGGGCCAGACCTCTAAATGGAAGAGGGGCACCGTCTCAATGCTCACTGGAACAGGTAACCAATTTGACTTTTATTGCATTCAAGTAGAATAAATTGAGGCACATAGCCTTTATGTCAATATACAAGCGTTTGGTAAAAATAATACCATTAAAATATAAATGTATGGAACAACGTAAAACGGTATTAAAGGAGCAGCCCTGAAATTGCGTGTTCAAGGGACTGCTGCAAAATAAGCTTCCAGGTTGACCAGATGTACTGGAATGGGTAGCCATAGCCACAATTTACCCCACCACACACGACCTACTAATCGACTGCGGTGCTCCCATTTATACCACTAGGTAGAGAGGCAGTGGGGGTGGCGTTTTCAGTGATTTGCCCCATTACTTAAACTGCCGTGCCAAAAGATGTAATAGAATAGGTGAAGTCTGGATGACATGTCCGGTGTGCTAACCATTACACCACTTTGACAGCTTCCATAAAACAACGTGCCTCAGGCAAAAATGGGTTTTTCAATGGCGATTATTACAGATGGAGAAGGCAACTGTTCAGCACCTGTGTGTGGAGTGATAGCGTCTCCATTTTGAGCTGCACCTCGGGATCTGTCATCAAGAAGAACAGGAAGGCCACTGCCAACTGCCAACCACAACACATGGCATACAACATGGGATACATGAGGGGGGGGGTCTTTTAAAACATGTGCACAAAACCCACACTATGTTCAACCAGGTAAGAACTAGAGAGACCAGGAGGTGTCTCAGACTGAACACACACCTTGAAGTAGGGTATGTAGTGCAGAAAATAGAAATCGAAGTAAAAACAACTAAAACATTTTTAGTTAATGTGTTGACTAAATACTGGCATGAAGCAAAAAACGTTTGGCTTCAGAGTGGCAGGCTGAGATGGATGAAACTATTGTTTTTGCTTCATCATCTATGTTCATCCAAGCAATAACAATGACACCTTGTGAACATTACTGTCTGGCATTGTGAGAGGCCTCTTACCTTAGCCAGCTCCATGTCAGAGGCACTCCGGGTCAGCAGCTCACTCCAATCCACCACCGAACCCATCACAGCTTGCCGCTCTGAAGCCACACGAATGACATCCATATCACACAGGCTTATACACAACTGTCATAGGCGCCTTGTAACATTAGTGGAAGGCACCTTACAAATAAATGTAAATTATTAATACATGATTGACCAGCTGCATATTTTTCCTGTGTTATCAAACCATTTTGTTAAATCTTAAAATTCACTTGCACAACATTTACAGATTTTACAGCTACAGTACATTCTCTATAAAGTGCCAGTGTACACCACTTAATTATTTATGTATTTATCTACATGTTTTATTGGGTGTGATATGCAAAAGATTAATAATTGACGCATAAATTATACATTTAAAATAATTGTGCCATTACATGTGTAGTGACGTATATTGGGTCACTACGGCGTTTAGCTCCAGCTACTGATAAGAAGTGTTAGAGAGCCTCTCGCTGGCACCAGGGTATGTTACGGCATGGAAAGGGGGCTCTAGGGGGCATAGTTCTGGTGACCGTTAAGAAAGGGGGCAGAGAGGATGTGACAGGTGGTTGAACCCGAGAGGGAAAGGTGGTGTGGGCCCAGAACCTTCTGGGAAGATCGAGGAGGCGGAGCCGACGGCAGGAGAGGCCACGCTCAGGGGATAAAAAGGGGGCCCTGAGAGCCGAGGGGGGCTATCTGCAGGAATGGGACTCGCCGTGCTACACCTCTTCGCTCTTCGATCGTCACGTTCAGCCTCGTGGGTCAGGCAGTATGTTAACTGACTGACCCGGTAATGTAGTTACCCCGTTGTGGTTTATGTAAGTGCCTTGTTGGGGTCGAGAAATAAACGTGTTGCCTCCAAGTCAAGTGTGTGCCTCCGTGGAACCCACTACACATGTGAGCAATGTGCGTGTCAATTTACATCATGGACACCCTTGCAAACGAGATGTACCATCTCAAGGGATTTCCAAGATTAAATATTTTCATGAATAAAAATACATGTGACTGAGTTGACATGCTGTACAAGGGGTAACAAACTGTGCTTATCTTACACTTGTGTAATGTAGCTCTCAGAAACACGGTCTTGTCTTTCTGTATATTTATTATGAATAAAGTCCACTAACAACTCAACGAGTAACCACGAGTGACTATATACATTTGGCTAGTTAGACGACTCTATTCTGAGACAATATTGCTTCTAGTCTCAAGACAACTCGCAGACGATGGAGACGACCCGTTCCAAGGTGACGACGACGATGGCAATTCCCCACACCAACAGCCACCAGCTCGTGCCGGTTCTTATGCCTCGCCCGTTCTGGCCACGCCCCTATTCTCGAATTCTCCTCGCCACACCTGCTTTGTCAATAACTGCCCCAATTACACTTCCCCCGCCATTGGATCCCGTGCTCCCCCTCACGTGACCCTGTGAACGTTTGTCTTATCAATCGTCATTAGCACGTCCATCAGTAGCTATGGTCCCAGGGAACCATATTGTCCCACTATCGCTCCGTACTGACTTTACACTTGCATTGCTAATGAGAGCGCCAACGCCTGGATTTCAGGGGGGCGTATATTAATTATACAGTCCATGCTTATCCATAGTGGGGTTTACATCTGGGGGAAAGGTAAGAGGTGGTTCCACCAGGGAAGACTCTGAAACGTCCGGGAAGGTTCCAGGAGAGATGTGGCCAGAGGCAGGGCTTAGTATCGGGAGGGGGATATAAGCGGGACAAAGAGGAACGCAAAGAGTCGGTGCTGAAGACTGAAGAGGAGCCTCGCCGCTGCTGCCCCGCCATCTCCATCGACCATGTGGCGGCTCGTCCTCCAGCCGCTCCCTAGCGCACCGTCAGCCAGCGGTGCGTTGGAGAGCGCAGGGTGAGCGCCACGTGGCGCGGGGCAGCGTAGCCACACGAAGAGTGGACGTCCGCAAGAGAAAGAGACACGTGGCTGTACCGAGCTTTGTTTGAATAAACAACCGAAGTTACTTACCGTGTCGGAGACCACTCATTACACTATGAATATCTACATTACCACAAATATTATCACATATCACAAAGCATAGCAAAACACCTATTATCCATCTGTTCTTAAAATGTGACACCAAACACACGTACAATGTAATTTTCCTGCCAAATGCATTGATTTACTTGAATCTATTTGTATGAATATTACATAGAATGACACAGGGAGCATTATCAGCATCGCCATATATCACAATTTTAGCTGGTTTAAACACATCAAAATGACAAAATCCAAGCTCCAAAAGCCACAACTTACAGGAATCTGCGAAGTACATTAATTCACAGATTACTCCCAATTTTCTACTCCATCCTTAAACCACGGCACACTGCATCGGCAGCGTCAGCAGAGTAGCATGTATTTTCATTTCAATTAGTGTATAGCATTAGGAATTTCAAATGAGGTTGCCGGCTGTTTTGCAATGTGCTTAAGGGTTTAAACAGTGGAGCTTACAGATGGAATCGCTGAGCTACAGGAGCCATGATATGGTCCCCCCATATCACCAGATTATTGGAGTTCTGTTCTAAAGCAATACAGAAGCTCCAACGAGGGAGAAGATACGTGGAGGCTGTGGCACACAGCATCTGTAGCAAGCCTAAGTGATCAGAACCAAATCCTCACGTATGGCCCAAGATATAATTAACTGCAATTGGCATGAGTTTAACTTTCTAAATATTCTAGAGATGAGACATAACACTATATACTATTGACTAAAATTTTCAACATTAAAGCTAGGAGGGTCTTATTGGCGTTTTGGGCATAAACAATACAAGTAACATTGGGATAATATTATTGAGATAGCTTACTTTTCAAAAAGGTAGAGACGAATGTAACTTTCTTTTCGTGAGAGTCCTCCACAGAGCTAACATCTGTGCCATTGTTTCTGTTGAAAGAATAACGGTGATAAAATAAATTAAAAACGTATAAGACAAAAATATAATGAAACTAGCTGTATTACCCGGCTTCGCCCGGGACTTGGATTCACCACGACCTTTGTCTCCCCAGTGGTGATGTTGACAAACCACACCAGTTACTCGTTTGAGGCTGAGTCGACCTAGGGGAGGCCCAGGACTGGTTAAAATAATCTTCACCGGTGGTGGCCATGAGCGGGAATCGAACTCGGTTCGCCGGGTTCGTAGCGCAGCGCACTAACCACTACACGCTTACACATGTGCAGGTCACATGACAGATTTGACGTTATACATAATATATGCATTATTGAGCTCCCCCCCTCCAAAAAATGTGTATTTTTTATCATTTTTGCATGGTGTACAGTCTGGAAAGTACCCAAATGGCAAATTTCAAGTTTGTTGCATGTCGGGAAGTACGCTAAACATTTTGAACAGACACATAATCACAACTTTGTCTTTCATATATATGGAGATATAAATTCCCTGCTCAAGACCTCTACATGCTGTGTCAGACATGAGGGTAGCTTGAGCATTCTTCACCATGCTGATCAGTGCGGGTTATTGAAGGGGCACTCAGGAACAGTTCAAATAGTATTCACCGCGAATGTTCAAAGTCAAGGTGCCTCACTTCTCTCAACCAGCTTAAAAGACGCTGCGAATATTAGGAGCGTTCATTGTAGCTCTGTCATCCCGACAGGTTTGTTCTTTTCACCTGAAGAAGGCCACTTGTGTTGTGGCCGAAACGTCGTGAGAATTTTATTGTTTTATTTTATTATTTTATTCTCATTCTACGTGACTTTACCGAAAGAACCAAAGAAGATTAATCCTTGCAGTCACGAAAGCTTTAAATCGAAATTTGCTTGCTAGTTCAGCGCAGTGCACTCTACCAGCAATATAATAAACTTAAACACTATGACAGACCACTCATCTTGAAATAGAAATAGAACTATAATGCTAAAGAGACAAAACTGAACATTCAACCCAAAAGCATAGATGCAACAAAAGTATACCTACTGCCTCTATTACAAAGCGTGCATCTTGAAAACGTATGAAAATATTGATATACAATTCATATTCTTTGGATCTTTAGGTAGTCACGTAGATAGAAGAAAAATAATAAAATAATAAAGTTTGTAAAAATAATACATGAAATAGAAAACAAAAAACCACTAACGTAGACTGTAGCCTGGTTCTTAATTGGAGTGACTGTACTGACAGTCTATAATGTAGACTGTAGCCTGGTTATTAAGTTTGGTGAGTGTACTGGCAGTCTATAATGTAGACTGTAGCCCTGTTCTTAACCTGGGTGAGTATACTGGCAGCCTACATTATAGACTGCTGAAAGAACCAAAGAATATGTATTCCTGCAGTCACGAAACTTTTAAGTCAAAAAATTATATACAATTTGCTCTTCAGTGACTGGTGCCATATTTTCATTATTTTTTCTAACAGCAATCCCTCACTTATAACGTGTTCTCACAAAGCGTTTTCGCTATTACGCAGTTCTTCCATGAGGGAACAATTTTCCCACAACGCTGCGGCGTAACCTCCGTTATTTGTCCCGCCCTCTTACTGGGCATGCATACAACTTAATTCACCAACCTTTATCGTTATATTATTAAGGGGAACATTATTTCCGCTTTACACGTTTTTAGCTTAACACAGCACTTTTCAGGAACACATTTACCACTTTAAACGAGGACTAACTGGACTATATAATCAAGGATGCCACTTATGTTTAATTTAAAAATATCTATTTGTTTGAAGGGTTTTTTTTAAAATGAGCTCTGTTGCAGCTAATATGATTCATGTGCACAATGTTTTATTTACACATTTCTCCCCAATTAAATTAAATACCTTCAATGGACATTTACTCTTCCCAGAATTTCAAGATATGAAACTGAAGGCTCGCAACAGCCAGTAATGTCCTTACTTTGGTGGCATTCAAGCACTACTATGTAATACACGAATTTCATCAAACGAAGGCATGCACACAATAACTAGCTTTACATAAAAGTACTTACAGCTTTTCAACAAGACTTAAAAATAATCTGAAGTCTTGCAGCTCTGAGAGCACTTCTGTCCGTGAAACGTCCAGACAGTTTATCTGTGAAACCAAGGTTATACGGCAGCATTTTTAATGAACACATCAAAACCACATGGCAGATGCAGACACATTCTCCAGAAATGGATAATGAAAGACTTGAGATTGCTCAATCATCGACCAAACCGGTAACCACAATGTAAATCACCTAAAGAGGTACACTTATTCAATTAACCAAGACCATTAAGGCGCCACGGTGGCGAGATGTTAACTACCTCGCTTGGTTTATAAGAGGTCGTGGGTTTGATCCCGATCATGACGCCTGTTGACGTGTCTCTCTCCCCGTGGTCGTGTGGATTTTTCTCCGGGTCCTCCGGTTTTCCCTCCGCAGTTGGAATCACGCGTTTAGAGTATTTGGCTGCTATAAATGTCTACATGATAAGCCACTTCGTTGAGCGATCATTTGTGGCAAGATCTCTTCTGAAAAAGAGCTATATATGTCAATGGGCCTTACCTGGTAAGATAATAAATAGTTTTTATAGTCTAGTTTTCACTTTTAAAAACTCAATATTTTAACATTTACTTTGAACACAAATGTGTTCATTTAGTAACACATATATAGTATTACAGGGTTGCTTATATACCATTTTTTTAAAAAATCTGTACATTAAGAAACATTTTAATATCTAATTATTATCAGGCCTCATGGTGTAAAGTGCTGTCTCGAACTCGAATCCACCATCTTTTTGGCCTCTACGTGCTAGATAAAGGGCAGTGTCCAAAACGCTGCCGATTTTATATTTTCATATGAATGCAGTGTTATTGGCGGATGTGGAGTTCTTTGTTTGTACTTGTGCACCACTGCCAAATCAGTACTGTATCACCAATTGACCTCTAGCAATATGAAAGACCCAACACAGAAGATCCCTTTGATCTTCCATGAAGCTCGTGGTCTACCCTAAACCACATCCAAACAAATCACAGCAGATGCGGATACCTGATGCACAAATGCAAAACAAATACAAATCCAGTGTACGAGTGTGAGCATCCAGAACAGACCCTACAACATATAACGATTAGATGCCCGGTCCACAAATAGAGACATCACACCATAAATTCTGCTGCCCCTGACAGGTTGTCTGGCAGTTGTTGCTCTGCATCTACATCAGCCATTCGAAAGAAGACCTCTAGCAATGCAGAAAATAACTCACGTACAAATTGTGATATTAAATCTCACGGACCACTGTAGCAGAATTCCAGCGAATACATAAAATACCTTTCGTTAGCGGACTACAAATACAACATCTATAATACAGGTTTGTTGGGTGAGATCGCATGAATATCAATGTATCGTTCAACCCGCCACCAACCGACATAGCCAATTACTAAGGTTTGTCACGTAAACATGACATGCCAATTCGTTACTAGTACAGCACACCGGTGTGTTGCAGAGTAAAGCGACATTTACAATCGGAATACGACGTTTTGCAAGTATTTGCAACTAGGACGCTAGGTGTGTTGTACTAGTCACGAATGAACACGTTTTGTTTACTTGACAAACGTTACTATTTGGTTGTCGGGTGGTGGCGGGTTTAACGACATTTATCTTTACGCGATCTAACCCAAAAACTTGTATCATGGATATTGGTCGCGAAAATCTACGAGTTAAACCAGATACAGTACAACAAACATCGTTACGTCTATCAGCCCAGTGGCCTTCGAGGCGCGCTAACAGCAGCATTTATATAACTCCTAACCGATTTCGTGTATAAACGTATCATGTATATGTTCCTATATACGTGGCAATCGACACACTTTCAAACATGAATTCCCATCTCAAGATATTATCCCATAAACTATCTAAACATTTTAACACGTAATCATTATCCCATTCCACATCCCCAGGGTGAAAAGGGAAGACGCTTACTCACCCAGTCCAGCAGGGCCGAGCACTTCGCCTGCGCCAGCATGTCGGCGCAGTCGGCGAGAAAACGTGACACGAAAAAACACGACCCTGATAACACCGAGACTGACCCCTGATGCACCGGGACTGACCCTGATGCACCGGGACTGACCCTACTACACCGGGAGCGACTCCGCTGCCCCCCGACAGCCGCCGCCTTTCTCGCTCTTGCCACTTGAGATTCAAACTGAGCTCGCCCGTTAACCCGGAAGCGCTGGTCTCACTCTTATTGGCTCCTGATTGACCAATGGCACTCAGCATCATATCGATTCAGAATCGAGCTCATCTCCATATATGCAAGGCAAAATTTCGATTTAAAGCTTTCGTGACTGCAATGATTCATCTTCTTTGGTTCTTTCGGTACAGATGCTTACTTGAAACCGGATTCCCACCACCATCCATCCCAGAAGAACTGCCTCATCAAGACTCTATACCATAGAGCCCAATGCATTTCCGACCAGGAACACATTACCAGTGAACTCAAACACGTACACCAGGCTCTCAGGGCTAATGGCTACTCCGACTACACAATCCGCAAAGCCATCACTCCAGTCATGAAGAAGGATCCTCTTGTGGAGCCACTCAAAACCATCACCTTACCCTACATTGCAGGGGTCACTAAAAAGATCTCCAAAATCCTGAATAAACACAAGATCCAGGTCCGATTCAACACAGTACACAAAATCCGTGATTTAGTTCCATCTGTAAAAGATGCTCTTCCAGACATACAGTACCCGGGCGTTTACAAACTAAAGTGCCTCTGTGGTAGTAGCTACATTGGAGAAACCAAAAGACATATCTCGGATCGCATCCGCGAACATAAAGCAGACTTGAAACACGGTAAGACGAACTCCTCTGCCGTGGCAGATCACTGTTACAATTCAGTGGGCTCACATGACATTGACTTCTCCAAGACGGAGGTTCTTTGCAAACCAACTGGCTACCATGAGAGATTCGTTCATGAGGCCATTCACATATACAAGCACAGAGACAATTTCAACCGAGAAGATGGATTCAGGCTCAGTAACCACTGGAAAGATGTGTTAAATCATTTCTGTTCTTAATTAATTGTAATTTTACGATGACCTTCAGACCGCAGCTCTTTCGCCAGCATTGCCTCTTAATACCTCTCACACCACGGTTAATGGTATGGTTTACAACATGGAGTATACTAGGGCTTCGCAGCTGTCTCTCTCCCCCTCCTCTGTTCCGACCATGGACGAACTCGTCCGTCTGAACGGGGCCCGTAGCTATCCGTGGTACGGAAATTTGAGGGTAAGAATCCACCCATTTTTTCGCCATATAGCATTGTGTTATATAACGACTTATGGTTGGTAGCTTAGCTGATTGGAGAATATAGAGTTTATTGATAACATGAAGGTAATTTATATTTTAGTTTTTATTGGTTCACTATATAGTACTGTGAATAGCTCAGATTTGTAGTCATTTCTGTGACCAGTCACTAGCAAATCACCCAGTTATTTCCATGCTAAATTCGCCTAGTTATTTCAATGCTAAATTCTCCTGTTTTGATTTGTACTAAGTGCCTCGGTGAATGTGTATGCTCTGACTTCAACGTAACTATTTCTGTAGCAGTTACAAGCGAATGCCTTAATTTAGCTATTTCAATGCTAAATTCTATGCTAATTCCTTTTAACAATGGGTGCCTCTGCGGATGTGTATGCTTTAACTTTTAACATAGCTATTTCTGTGACCAGTCACAAGCTAATCATTCAGCCTTTTCAATGCTAAATTTTATGCTAATTCCTTCGTCAAGGCTCTTTGTTCCTCTCACACAGCTTAAAAGCCGTGATCTGAACGTGGCTCTCTCACTCCAGCGCTGTCCTACCAGACAGTCTCGCTCCCTTCACCTGATGAAGGCCGCTTGTGTTGTGGCCGAAACGTTGTGAGAATATTATTGTTATTTTATTTTATCAATTTATTATTTTATTCTCATTCTACGTGACTTTACCGAAAGAACCAAAGAAGATGCAAGGCAAAGTTCATATTCTTGTTTCTTTCGGTAAAGTCACGTAGAAGGGAAACAATAAAATAATAAAAATATAAAACAATAAAATTCTCACGACGTTTCGACTGCAACACAATCATCATCAGGTGTGAAAAGCACTGTGGCTGTGATGATGATTGTGTTGCAGTCGAAACGTCGTGAGAATTTTATTGTTTTATATTTTTATTATTCTATTGTTTCCCTTCTACGTGACTTTACCGAAAGAAACAAGAATATGAATCCCTGCAGTCACGAAAGCCTTAAATCAAAATTTAAAGGCAAAGTTGTGAATATGTGTGTCTGTTCAAAATGTTTAGCCTACTTCCCGACATGTGTAGGGGCTGATGCCCCCCCTCCCCCACGATGTGGGGGCCGATCCCCCCCTCCCTCACCACGAGCGGGGGGGGGGCGCCACGTCTACTTGGTGGGGGCTGATGCCCCCCCCTTCACTCCCCATTAGGTGGGGGCCGACCTCACCCACCACGGGCGGGGGGGCGCCACTTCCAATTGGTGGGGGCTGATGCCCTCCCCCCCACCCGCCATTGGGGGGGGGGTCAATCACCTCCTCCCCCCCTGTCCCCTCCGCGTTTGTGTCGCTCGTGCCCCCCCGCCCCATCGATCGGGTGACCCCCCCCCCCGTCCCAGGGTCCTCTCTGACCGGCATAGCTAGCGGCTGGCCGACACCGCCGAGGGGTTGATTACGCGTGTGCCCCCCCCCCACTCACGTGTCCTAACCGCGTGGATTACGTAATTGTTTGACTCGCCGCTGTGTGGGGTTTAATTAATAATTTCCACTAAGCCGTTGTGTCAGCAAGGCGAACGCTCCCGCGCGGTCCGGATATTAATAAATTAATCGGCGATCGCGCGGCCCCCACCCACCCACGTGTCTTCTTTGCGTGACACTCGTGTGTCTCACCGCTAACACTGCGGTGCACACACAGACACACGTGACACTCGCGTGTGTCTCACCGCTAACACTGCGGTGAGACACACAGACACTAGTGACACTCACGTGTGTCTCACCGTTAACACTGTGGTGCACACACAGACACTAGTGACACTCACGTGTGTCTCACCGTTAACACTGTGGTGCACACACAGACACACGTGACACTCGCGTGTGTCTCACCGTTAACACCGCGGTGCACGCATAGACACGCACCGGCGCGGGCAATCGGTGGTATTTTAATATGCGCGCGCGTCACACCCACACTGATTTATAGTCACCCATACACCAACGTACGCCGATCGCTGTCCCACCGCTCCCTTATGCTCCTGAGCGTGGCCTCGCTCCGCCTTCGACCACGCCCCTTCGGACCTTTCCCGTAGGATCTCGGCCGGCCATCACGCGCCCTCTTGGGTTCACTCAGGCCACCACCAGGACCACGCCCCCTAGGGATGGCTGAAATGCCATACCCACTCTGGTGCTAGAGAGAGGCTCCAGACGCACAGCTGCACTCCTGTAACAGCAGCTGGCGCGAACACCATAGTGACACCATTTACGTCACTACATCACCCCCGCCCCCTTTCTAAAACAGCCGTCCTTGGCTGATCACTATACCTTTAACAACAGCAACAACCAACAACAAAATAAGCCTCCCAAAATGTTCTGTGTAACAATAACCAAAAACCCAATGACAACAAAGCAAGCAGCAACCGTCGCCCAGACAATATGTACATCAACGGAGGAGCACCCAAAAAATATTTCTGCGAACACATGACCAACACAACCCCCAGACAATGTACACCCCTCAACACCCACAACATGTCATGACCCACGAGCACATGAGGGACCAAGTCCAACCGGCAGCACATTCCGGCTCGTGTGTGTGATCGTGTGTGTGTGTGATCATGTGTGCGATCTCCAACGGCGTAGGGATAAATAAGACGGTGGGGAAGGGTCATTTCGATGGGCGAACTTGAAGAAGGTCCAACGGGTGCGGCCTCTCCCAGGAAGAAAAACAAATGGGAGAAGCAGGAATGGGTGACGGCTGCTCCACTCTCCCCAATCTAAAACTAAAGGCAACTCCCCCTCCGCAGGCGTTGATTTTGGCAGGAACGCGTTTTGGCAGGAACCCCGTCCCGCCCGGCCGCAAATGGCGGCCGCCCACGCTGCGTTTCTTGGGTTTCCCGCATGCATGGGAACAGCAGCGGAGGAGCCGTATCCCCACGGCCCCGGCACACAGACTTATTCGACCGGCTCCTCTAGCTCGGAGCTCAGTGAGCCTGAGCTGCTGCTCCCTGGGCCTGCCTGAGCTACTGCTCCCTGGGCCTGCCTGAGCTACTGCTCCCTGGGCCTGCCTGAGCTTCTGCTCCCTGGGCCTGCCTGAGCTGCTGCTCCCTGGTCCTGCCTGAGCTGCTGCTCCCTGGGCCTGCCTGAGCTGCTGCTCCCTGGGCCTGCCTGAGCTGCTGCTCCCCGGGTCTAACTGAGCTGCTGCTCCCTGGGCCTGCCTGAGCTACTGCTCCCTGGGCCTGCCTGAGTTACTGCTCCCTGTCCTGCCTGAGCTGCTGCTCCCTGGGTCTGCCTGAGCTGCTGCTCCCTGGGCCTGCCTGAGCTGCTCCCGTGGCTCCCGTCATGCAGCGGTCGCAGCGCCACCTTTGAGAAGCCGGAGCGGAGCCTGGGAGCCGTGGACGCCCTCCCATTTACAAAACACCGGGCATCTGGGTAGAAGCTATTGCTAGCTCCACACCTGGATAATGCCACCACTCCACTCCACCATCGACTACTACTCAATCAACAACCACCTTCATTTGGACTCCATTGACATTCACCGAGAAACTGGACTAATTCGCCGTCCGCTTCACAGAGGCTCTGGTCGTGTGTTCAATTACTACTACTCAACCCCAAACTCCATCCCATCCATCTGGTCCTGTTTGCGCCCCACAACTTCCTTAATACGTCATCACAACATATGACACGTGCACCTAACCAATCTCCGCCCCATCCCTCGGTCCTCTCAATTCACCACGAAGCAAAGTCACCTAAAACTGGCTTTGCTCAACACCCGCTCACTAAACAATAAAAGCCTCATTTTAAATGAATTCATTACTGACAATAACCTGGATTTTCTCTGTATCACTGAAACTTGGCATAAACCTATGGACTATTTCGCACTCAACCAGACTTCACCTACAGGATATATATACATGGACAAACCCCGATCTGAAGGGCGGGGAGGTGGTGTCGCAGTGTACAGAAAGGACATTAAAACATCCACCATCTCCATCCCTG